AGGGACAGGGCCCCGCCCCCACTCCCACCCTGCGGAGCCGCATCCACTCACGCCTCCGGCACCTCCACGCTGCCTGTGCCCCACGCCGCAAGGTGGCGTTGCTGCTGGCGATGTGCAGGGACATCTACGAGGGCCTGGCTTCGGGCGAGAAACAAGGTAAAGGAGGAGGAGTCTGCATCTACCTGGATGTGGACCGCCCTTGAGGGTTGTAGGAGCCATTTAGGAGGTGCCTGTGTGCACGTCCAGGGGCGAGGGTGGCATGTTCTATGTGAGGTGTCTATGCAGGCCTGGAGATCAGGTAAGAGGCGTTTGCACCCCAAGCAAGTGAGGGGCAGCCAGCGCTCGCTGTCCTGGGGACCGGATGGAAGGGGCCTGCACATCCCCATCCAGCTCAGAGCCTGCCCTTGGCGTCCCCAGAGCCCCTGGGCGCCGACGCCTTCCTGCCGGCGCTGACTGAGGAGCTTATCTGGAGTCCGGACATCGGGGAGACACAGCTGGACGTGGAGTTTCTTATGGAGCTCCTGGATCCTGAAGAGCTACTGGGAGAAGGTGAGCCCCCATCCCCAGAAGTCAGGACCCAACAGGGGGGCACCCCAAACAGCCTCACCTGCAACAGGAGGAAAGGCTGGCAAACTGCAGGGGCCTTCGGGCCACCAGGAAAGCCGGGAGAGCTGCATCAACCCCTTCTTCTTGCCCCTAGTTGGTTACTACCTGACCACGTGGTTTGGGGCCCTGCACCACATCGCCCACCATCAGCCCGAAGCTGGACGAGCGCCACAGGAGCTCAGTTCCGAGGCCAGTGCCTCCCTGAGCCAGTGGCATCGCAGGCGAACGCTACAAGGACAGGGCCACTCCAGACCCCAGGTGACCGCTGGGTTGGACTGTGGGTAGAGGGGAGGACTGGCCCAATTGCCTTTCTGATCCAGGTTCCTGCCTGTCCCCCTAGGCTGATCTGCCCTTTGAGGAACCCTGGGAAATACAGACTGGGCCAAGAGACCAATGATGAATAGGGATCTCAAACCTTTCTGCTCTTCAAGCAAGATGCAGAGGCACCTGTTGTTCAGGAGCAGCAAGGAAGAGGAGGTCCCAGGAAAAGGGAATGGCTTACCTTGGGGTCTTTGCATTGGCTGTTCCTGCTTCCTGGAATGCCCTTCCCTAATATCCACACTGTTCCTTCCCTCCCTTCCTTCAGATCTTGAGGCAGATTTCACAGTCTCAGTGAGGTTCTCTCAGACACAACTGTCTGCAACTATAACTCCTCTCCCTTGACCTCCCTGTGGAAGGCAGAATAAGGCATCCCCCACCTTCTCCAATGTCCTCTTCCTAGTACCCAGAATCTGTGACTATGTTACTTTACATGGTAAAATGGATGTTATAGATGCGATTGAAGATTTTAAGGTGGGGAAGTTATCCTGGAATCTAGTGGGTCCAATATCATCACAAGGGTCCTTATAAGAGGAAGGCAGGAGGTTCAGTGTCAGAGGAAGAGATGTGATGATGCAAGCAGAGGTTGGAGTAAAGGCCAGGAGCTAAAGAAAGCAGGCACCCTCTAGAAGTTGAAAAAGACAAGGAGTGGATGTTCCCCTGGAACCTCCAGCAGAAATTCACCCTTTGATTTTAGACCCCTAAGATCTAGTTTGGACTTCTGACCTTCAGAACTGCAAGATAATAAATTGGTGTGGATTTTGTTAAACCACTAAGTTTGTGGTAATTTGTTACAGCATCAGCAGGAAACTAATACACCCTACCCTGATCTGAAATTGAACCTCCTGGTTCATAGGTAGATGCTCAACCACTGGGTTGCGGGCTCAATCCCCAGTAGGGGGCGTGCAGGAAGCAGCCAATCAATGTTTCTCTCATCATTGATGTTTTTATCTCTCTCCCTCTCCCTTCCTCTCTGAAATCAATAAAACTACATATATATATATATATATATATATATATATATATATATATATATATATATATATATATATATATATATATATATATATATATATATATATATATATATATATATATATATATATATATATATATATATATATATATATATATATATATATATATATATATAATTTATTTATTTATTTTTAAAGGGCAGGTAAATGGGAGGCTGTCAGATCCTATATGTCCTTGTTAAAAAGTATTCTGGATCTTTTCTAATTTTTGAGCCACCACGATCTGAGTCTTTTTGTCTTGACTTTTGTTTTTTTTACATCTAATATACATTTACATACCAGGAACAAAAGTAACAGTATTAAACCAGTAACACTGATTAGGAAAAGAAAATGTCTTATATTAGACAAGGAAGTACCTGAAGAGGAACAAGTATCTACTATTATCCAGAAGTTTCAATTTTTCTACTGGGCAGTTAATTTCATCTATTCCTATATTTAGACAATATTCATCTAAAATACTCATCTAGATTAGATCTATATATAATTCTACCAGGGGAATTATTAGGGAGTGTTCTTGGAGAGGTTTGTCCAAGAGAGGTCCTTTATAATAGATAAAGCCTGAAAAATGTACCAAAGCTTATATTGATAGTAGAAGACCACTAGTGTGGCCAACAAAATTTCATTATCATAGCTGATAATCAGAATATCATTGTCTAGTAGGTGAGAAAGATTAGCAGGTACCCAAGTTAAATTTTTCATGTCTATTAAGGAGAGAGGTCTGGGGAGACAGATATTGTTTTCATTAGGGTACAATAAGGAGGATAAAATATACCTCCTCGCGCGATTTCAATCACGCCCTGGGCCTCTAGTAACAATATAAAAAAATCATTTTATATGCATTCAATCAATAACAATTAGGTGATATAAGAACAAGGTTTGAGCAGCATCAATTTGTGAGCATACAGGCCTTCCTTGTGATGTCTTGGGATGGCTGTCTACCTCCTCCATAGTTGGTGGCTTCTCATCTTTGAGATGAAGGTGAGTGTCAGAGACGGGCAAATGTCCATTCATGGTTAGGCACCTGATAAGGTCCCTTTAACACTGTTGGAGAGAGTCTTTAATGAATGTATTTCCCAATGGACAAAAAATCTCCGGGTTGTCATGGTCTTTGAATCTTTATCTCCTGGGAGTACTGTGAAATGAATGTTACTAATTTATTAGTTCCTATAATGCAGAATATCTGCTTTTTAGTTTTCCTTATATTTGGGAAACAAAATATTTAAAAATCAACAAGATTTTAAGAATAATTAGTCTCGCCCTAACCGGTTTGGCTCAGTGGATAGAGCGTCGGCCTGCGGACTGAAAGGTCCCAGGTTCGATTCCGGTCAAGGGCATGTACCTTGGTTGCGGGCACATCCCCAGTAGGAGGTGTGCAGGAGGCAGCTGATATTTCTCCCTCATCAATGTTTCTAACTCTCTATCCCTCTCTCTTCCTCTCTGTAAAAAATCAATAAAATATATATATTTTTAAAAAGAATAATTAATCTCAATTCATTTAGTTCCATGGTTAATTTTGTTTATCCTAATTATTTGCCAGTAGTTTTTTGAATTCAGTTATTCCTTGAAGTTCTATAAATCTTCATCCAGTTCAAAGATAATAGCCTACTTAGAAGCCTGCAACTTAAAGTAGGTCAGAGTCCTTTACATGGATTTTTCTAAAGATATAATATATCTGCAAATGCATCAGAATAAAGCAACAGCTGTCCATGAATAACAAAATTTAAAAGTGGTATGGTTATAGATTTGATTATAATGCAATTAATAAAAAACTGTGCTTTCCTATAAGATATAGCATTCCAAGGCAACAATTTCTTGGTAAATAATAATTACTATAAAATGACATAGAGAATTATATAAAATTTGTATATTTTTAGATTCAATATAAAATTCCAGCATATAAAGAATAAAAATATGTAAGATTTTAAAATGAGGCACATGGTTGCAAGCGGTATATTGAGCTTGAAAAATAATACATAGCCCTAGCCAGTTTGGCTCAGTGGATTTAGCGTCATCAACCTGTTTGAAGGGTCCCAGGTTCGATTCTGGTCAAGGGGACATGCCCAGGTTGCGGGCACGATCCCCAGTGGGGAGCATGCAGGAGGCAGCTAATCAATAATTCTCTCTCATCATTGATATTTCTATCCCGCTCTTCCTTCCTCTCTGAAATTAATTTAAAAATATTAAAAAGAATAATAAAACATAAACTCCCCATGTTTGAAACACAAATATCCAGGGTATCACTGCCAAACACCCCCACAGGGAATTATCACTCTTGGTTTGCCTGGTGTCCCTGACTGGACACATGCTACCCCTGAGAGTTTCCTGTTTGAACTTGGCTCTGAATCTTTGCAAGTTCCTTTCTGAAGCAGACTGAAATTTCTATAACATTCATTTTAACAAAATATATGTATATAAATAGGACATAGTTATTATTAATTTTTATTTGACAAAGCTTCCCACATAATTTCAAGTATATTAAATTGGCCTAATTTAGTTTAAAAATATTTCTTTTAAGAAGAGAGAATAGCCCTAGTGGGTTTGGCTCAGTGGATAGAGCATTGGCCTGTGAACTGAAAGGTCCCAAGTTTGATTCTGGTCAAGGGCACGTGCCCGGGTTGTGGGCTCGATCCCCAGTGGGGGACTAGCAGGAGGCAGCCGATCTATGATTCTCTCTCATCATGGATGTTTCTATCTCTCTCTCATTCTTCCTTCCTCTCTGAAATCAATAAAAATATATTTAAAAAAAAAGAAGAGAGAATAAATCCTTGAGTCATTCCAGGGCCCATTGGAATGACCCAAAGTCATTTCTCAGTTAAAAGTCTTAAAATTTAAACTTTGGATTGTCAAATATACTTAACCAAAAGATTACATCATTAACTCTTTGTAAATGTAGGTAAAAAAAAACCACCATATTTTATGGTAATGACTCTAAAAGACATTAATCAAACTTAAATCTTTTAATATTTAAAAATTTTGTCCAGACCACAGAATTCTGCTTAATTTATATAAGTATTTAATATTTTTTAAATTATGCCAATAAAAGATTATATCCTAATAATGCTATCCAGAGGCTGAAAATTTACCACACATAGTACACAGACAAACACATCTATCTATCTATCTATCTATCTATCTATCTATCTATCTATCCATCTATCTATCTAATATTCGAAGTGTCTGTCCAGGTAATGACATCACGTAGCAACACCCAGCTTCCTCTCTCTAGTGACGACTAGCCTCCTTGTAGTTTGGAACACGACTTGCTTTATAGCCAGGTTTAAATATTTTATACTTTAACCAAATGTTTGTGAAGCGTATTCCTGTGCCTCATCTCACTTGATCCTCACAGAAGTCCTGGAGTAGGTAGATAGGAGACTCGGTAGAATCCTATTTTCTTTTCATTAGCTGGAAAATGGAGATTTAGAAAGCTTAGAAACTTGACCTAACAGAAAAGACATAAGAAATGGTTGACCTTGAAAATGACTTCAGGTTTTCTCACTGCACAGAATATAGTCAAACATTGCTGCAGTTCAATATTTTACCCTTTGTTCTCCCTGCATGATCTACAATAATAATGTGCTTTGTGTTGATATTTACTGCTGTGTTGCTGACAATTACCTGAAAGAGAAGTTGGGGTGCTTCACTGGGCTGGAAAAAGTTTAACTAAATCAGAAAGCAGGTTAATTAAGCAAGTTTATTCTATATATATAAAAGGCTAAGTTGACTCGCACATGCGCAATACATATAAAGCTCTTGCTGGCACCAATCGCACACGTGTGTTTTTGTCATTGTCAATCATGAATTTGGTTGACACTATAGAGAAAGAGTGAATAGCAATATTAAAATATTTCTTCTAATTAATAATTAATTTCCTTTCAATGTTCATGAATCCATGCACTGGGCCACTAATACCACATAAAGACCATATACATAAAGACCTTAACATAATTCGAATTACTAACTTTTGCAGAGAAAATGCAGTAATTTTTTTCTTCAAAAATGAATCTCCATAGCTCATGCATTATATTATCACAACCATAATAATTTCTCCCAACTTAATTTGAACTTTTAACTCTTAGAAGCCTCAATTTTCAATAATAACCAAAATAAAATAAGTGACCAGTATTCCTTAGATTGATGCTTATGAACACACTAGAGGCCTGGTGCATGAAATTTGTGCATGGGTAGGATCCCTAGGCCTGGCCAGCAATCAGGGCCAATCACGTTTCCCGCCTCCCTGACTCCCCACCTCCTCCTTCCCTCACTCCCTCAGTGCACCGGCCATGTTATGCGCCACCCCTTGGTGGTCAGCACATGTCATAGTGACTGATCGAACTCCTGGTCTCCCGGTCTAACTCCCGAGGGGACCTGGCCAGTGATCAGGGCCAATCACGTTTCCCGCCTCCCTGACTCCCCACCTCCTCCTTCCCTCACTCCCTCAGTGCACCGGCCATGTTATGCGCCACCCCTTGGTGGTCAGCACATGTCATAGTGACTGATCGAACTCCTGGTCTCCCGGTCTAACTCCCGAGGGGACAATTTGCATATTAGCCTTTTATTATATAGGATTTTAAACACACTCTCTTTTTTCTTTTTTTAAATTGATTTCAGAGAGGAAGGAAGAGGGAGAGAAAGATAGGAACATCAATGATGAGAGAGAAACATTGATTAGCTGCCTACAAGCCCCCCACTGGGGATTGAGCCCACAACCCAGGCATGTGCCCTTGACTGG